GCTGGCACACCGTTGTCTACGATGTCTATGAGATTCGCTAAGTCTGGGAAGTGTTTTTTGGTTCCGAAGTGTTGTTCGAGGTCGCTCAGGTTTAGCGGCGGTGACACCAAGGTGCCGCCGATTTCCCTCGCGACGTCTCCCAACTTTCCGTCGTTCGTTTTTAGAAGCATGCTACCAGTCTTAGCAAGTTCGTGAATGATTTCCTGTTTTTCGTCAAGTCGTGTACCACGTGCTAGGCATTCCTTTTGTTCTCTCCACATTTCAGCCAGTAGCTTCCCATAAGGAGGTGGCAAGGCTGCCGACCCGTCACTAGCCGAGTCCCTCTTGCCGTAGGGGTCTTTGTCTCCAATACACGTATTGGGTCTAGCACTCTTGCGATCTTCTCCCTGGTGCGAGGGGTCTTTTTCTCCCCGGTAAGAGGGGTCTTCTCTAGTGTTTCCACTAGGTCTTTCTCTGTCTTTGTCTCCAATACACGTATTGGGTCTAGCACTCTTGTGATCTTCTCCCTGGTGCGAGCGGTCTTTTTCTCCCCGGTAACGGGGGTCTTCTCTAGTGTTACCACTAGGTCTTTCTCTGTCTTTGTCTCCAATACACGTATTGGGTCTAGCACTCTTGTGGTCTTCTCCCTGGTGCGAGGGGTCTTTTTCTCCCCGGTAACGGGGGTCTTCTCTAGTGTTTCCACTAGGTCTTTCTCTGTCTTTGTCTCCAATACACGTATTGGGTCTAGCACTCTTGCGATCTTCTCCCTGGTGCGAGGGGTCTTTTTCTCCCCGGTAACGGGGGTCTTCTCTAGTGTTCCCACTAGGTCTTTCTCTGTCTTTGTCTCCAATACACGTATTGGGTCTAGCACTCTTGCGATCTTCTCCCTGGTGCGAGGGGTCTTTTTCTCCCCGGTAACGGGGGTCTTCTCTAGTGTTTCCACTAGGTCTTTCTCTGTCTTTGTCTCCAATACACGTATTGGGTCTAGCACTCTTGCGATCTTCTCCCTGGTGCGAGGGGTCTTTTTCTCCCCGGTAACGGGGGTCTTTTCCAGCGTTCACGCCGGGTCTATTGTTTTCTCCCGTGTTACGGGGATCTTTTTCTCTCACTTGTTCAAGTCTAGCGCACGGTTGTTCTACTCCTTGGTTAGAGGGGTCCATTAGCGCTGGTTCTGCAGTAATTTCATGTTCATCACTATTGGTGCGTGGTCTACTTTGGCTGGTACTTCTACGAGTACACGGTTGTTCTACTCCTTCGTTAGAGGGGTCCAATAGCTCTGGGTCTGCAGTAATTTCATGTTCCTCACTACTCGTACTTGATTTACTCGGGCGGGTACTTCTTCTCTCACCGTAGAACACGTTCGGTGCCACCAACCCGGGAAGAGGCGCTTCAGTTAGCGCCACGGTCCTGCTCCTGTCTACAAAAGCTGCTACCGTGGGGTCATCCGCCCTCCTCGCCCGCGTTGGCCCCACCTCTGGATGGGGCCCGTATTGTCAGGAGTTGGCACCTGCTGCTCCTTGTGGCCTGTAGTTGTTGCTGTAACGGGCGACTACGGGGCGTGGTGCAGCGGGGGCAGGGGCGGGTGCGGGGGCAGGGGCAAGGGCGGTCGCGGGTGCGGGGGCCCGGACTGGCGCTATGGGCGGCGGACCGGGGGGGGGCGACGCTGGGGTGAACCTGTACGTGGTTGAGGGCGCAATGCGGGCGGGTGCACTTTTGTCCTTTCCAGTGGGAGTGACACGCGCGGTGGGGGGTTCCCCACGTGAGGAGGTCCTGCTGGAACGGGGACAGCGTCGCCACCGCGTGTTGGTTGGCGACGGGTGCTGCGGTTATCCGCGGGCGGGATGCTGTATGACCGCTCGTGGCGCTGCTCGCTGACGCTTTCCTCTTCTGTGGCTGCGGGAGCCCGGCCAGGCCGTTGTTCAGCTTTCCGACGATGGCGTTGGCGTTGCCTTCCGCGGTGAGGCCGCGCAGCCGCGAAAACGCAGGGGGGGGGACGGGTTGCACGTCGTCAGCCGCCGGCGGGGATATGTCGTGGTCGGCGCGGATCGCGGCGCCAAGGTCTGAGATGTTCCCGAGATACTCGTTGATGTCGGTGTTGGTGTCGGTGATCAGGCGCGTCTTCACCGCTGCTTCTTGACCCATGATTTCCGCCGAATGAAGGCTGAGGTAGTCCCGGGCGTTGGACACAATGCGGCTGATCTCGGCTTTCAACTGTTGCCTGCGGCCGGTCGATGGTTCGCCTGCGGCGTGTGTACCATGGTCCAGCACGGCGAAGAACGCTTTCGCGAACGTCTCGAGGTGAACGATGAAGTCGCGTGGCTGCGGGGTCCACCCGGTAGGGAGGGGTGGGGAGAACTTGGCGATATCGACGTTGGCGATGGTCATCAACGAATCGATCATTTCGGCGTCGGGATAGGCCACTTTGCGGAGCAGCTGGGCAATTGCGTTCTTTGACAGCGTGGTGCCAACGAACCACCCACCGCGCAGCAGAAACAGCGTCGCCGCGGGCTCGTCTCCCCATGCCTTCGTGTCGCGGCGAAACCTCTCCTTTTGTACCTGGGTGTTAAGGCCCTGGTTTAACACGTTAATATTTGGGCCCAGAGCCTGTGCTTGCTGGGGCTGTAGCACGAGCTGGCCGCCTAGCGGGAGATTAATAGGCTGGGGCTGGCCTTGCTGCTGGAGGCCGGCAGGGGGGAGGTGGCCAGGCTGCTGCGGCTGCTGCTGATGCTGCTGTTGCTGGTGGAGCTGCTGCTGCTGCTGGTACTGCTGCTGCTGCTGTTGCTGCCTGTTGCTGCTGCTGCTGCTGTTGGTACTGCGGGTGCTGCTGCTGCTGTTGCTGCATCCTGAGCTCCAGGTTGCCGAGTCGATCGCTTTGCTCTTTTAGGAGTACAGACATCTGCAGCAGTAGCTGGACTGGGTTGATGGGGGGAGGTGGGCCTCCCAGCCCGGCTGGCGCGGCTCCGCCCGCATTCTGGTCTCCTCCTGCTGCGGGGGGCGCGTTGTTGTTTCCCGCCGCCTGTTGGTTTCCCACCGCCCCTGCTGGCTGGTTTCCTGCTGCTACTGCCTGTCCGCCACCGTGGGGAGCTGCCGCTGCTGCTCCTCCTCCGCCGCCGCTGCTCTGTTGTTGGTTAGCTGCGGGCGGTGGTCCGTTGGGAGGCGGCGGTGGTGGCGGTGGAGGTGGCGCTGGCTGCGCTGGCTGCGCTGGCTGCAGCTGCTGGGGGGGACCCTGACCCTGCTGCTGCAGGTTGTTGCCGTTGTTCATCACTCTGGCGTGTCTAGGACCAAAATTCGATCAAGTCCCAAACGAAAACTCTTTTCTCTCGCTGCTGCTTTGCTGCACTGCCTTTGCGGGCGATGCAACGTTTTTCCCTTCGAGGTCCTCGGCTTCCCAAGGATCCCAAAAGCTTCTGCCAACCTCTCTCTCTTCTCTGTACCCTGTACATAGCTATACCCCCGTATACCCTTTTTTGTCTCTCGCCGCTCTTTCACGAAATTTCCGGTACGCTTCCACAAACCACGGATTCACGGTTATACCGAATCCTTCGTACTACAGCTCGGCCAATCACAGGCCGCGGGACTGTCCGCACTTACAGTAGTTCCGCCGCATTCATAGAAAACTTGCGCGACGGGGGACGGGGGATGTACTTCGCCGTTGTTGACATCCTGTCGGCTTGTGTTTCTTGCGAAGCCAGGGTGGCAGTACAGTAGTGTTTTTGCGCCAAGCGCTCTGAGATTCGAATCAGTTGGGTCTCTCTCTTTTTTCCTTCACCAGCGTCCAAGTCGCAAGTCCCTGTGTGTCCACGTCATGACATGTCACACGGATTTATTTGCGTGTCAGTTGTTTCGTCATTCATCTTTTGGGGGACGATTTTCGACCAACACCGATCCGCGAGCTCTCCCTTTGCGTCGCCTCTTCTCCCTCTCCCGCTATCTCTCGGCCTGATTTCCGAGATAGGATCATGCGCGTGACCTCTGACGCACAGAATTCCTTTGGCTCTAAGCAGTGTGCCCGCGGTTTGCAGCACAGTCAGTCTACATGTGAGCGCAGTACACACAGCAGTGCAGCAACACCAGCAGTTATTTTAGTTCTCTGGCTAGCACGCTCGCACCACCCGTCGGTTATACCTTTTTACTCCTTGTACACGACAGCACGCAGTCAGCTTGGACGATGCCGTTGTATTCACACATTATCGGTACGGAGAGCAAAATATTGTTGTCGTTTCGCGCCACTGCCCAATAAATTGAGCAATTCCATCAAGCCAGCGGCCACTCTACATCAAACAACAACACAACACATACATACATACATGCGCCGCATAATTAACCAGAAACGAGAGCTCGGTGTGGCGAAAAAAAAACCAAAAACCACTCTCCCCGAGTCTCCCCCCTACCAAAAACAATGTTCTTCAGCAAGGTAGGGGGGTGGGAGAACGGATGGAGGAGGAGCAGCAGTGGGACGTTTCTTACTGGATACATACGCTCCTCCTCCAGCTACACCGTTTGTTTCGTATGTCTTGGGCGTCATGTTTCTGATTTGGACGTTTTCTTATGTTGTGGCCGAGACTGAGCCTTGTTTCTAAGCCCTTTTTCCTTAATTTTCGCAAAAATTTGAACCTATTATTCTTAGCAGAAGTTTCTTAACTGCTGGCCCGCTCTATGTATGTATGTGTGAGAGGCTGCTGAGAACAAGAGCTCACCACCGACATCCTCCGCTCCAACTTTCATTGTGTGGCTCGTGAGCACACGTTAGGGAGGGAGCCTGCAAAATTGTCCTCGAGTGAAGACTGAAAACAATCACCTCATCACGGGAGTTCACCACCCAGTATCAAGACACTCGATTAGCGATAGCAAGTAGTCTATGCGACTCTGCCGGTGCACGATGCGCCTCGACACGTAACGTACCCGGTGCATGTGTCCACAACGTCAACGGCACGTACACGTTGTCGCCTTACGCTTCGGACCGAGGTCGCCAATACGAAGCATCTAATCGTTGTTGGGCGCCACAACATGTCGTGTGTGATAAGTATGGCAGAAGGTTAACCAGCTCCATCTTTGTGTTCGCCCTCCAAGATAGTAAAGGAGGGGAGATGCGGCATCCCTTCGTGATACGAGTAAGCTGTTTCAAAAAAGGCCATTTCATGAATGGCGGGGCACAGCCCATGGACCAAATACCCAAGACAATCTGTTGTCTGTCAAATCCTCCTCACGTGCTAGTATATCTGCAGGAGGTGTGCTAAACTTCAAGCACCATCATCGCCAGGTTACACCAAACGAACACACAAGGAGGACAGCGTTCGCAAGCACATCAGTGCAAGCTTGTGTGGGTATTGGAATCAAATTATTGTTTTCATCGACATACCCCGTTCAGAGAACAACTACGATCGATGCAGCACGTCTCTCGAGTGTACGCATCATGGTCAAGCCTGACACGACGACTCGACGAAACCAACATGGCAAACGGGCAACAGCAACAACCGGCACCACCCACCAGGCCAAAGCGTCGTAACACCAGGCGCAGCCAACACAAACACCAACAAAAAGGGCCCCCAATCTCCTAGCCCCCTCCCCTCCGAACAGTAACCGCACGCCTCACGCACGAGGGTGTGCGATACGAACCATCTACGGAGTACACGGTCGGTATGTTCTACATCAGTCGACATGACACCGTTTCTACGAGCCCAAATGACCATTGAACGCGGCCGCCATCATAGCATCATTCGGCTACCATCTAGGGAGGGAGAGGCGTCCCTGCCCCCCATCGCAGCATCTAACAAAACCACAAAAATAATGTTACAACACAACACCGCTATTCACAGAGCGCCCCCCAGCAACATACCCGGTGCAAAAGGTCGGAAGAACGCACGGTCTAGAAATCTAGTTGAAGGTGTACCCCGCGCCGAGGAGGTCGTTGATCACGTACGGCTTGTTGTTCAGCTCCTCGTGCACCATCAGAGCCAGGATGCCCATCTGTGCCGCGCGCCCGTTGTTCAGCTCGATCGCGCGCTTCGACGCCTGGGTCTCCTCCGACATCGCGTCCCACGAGGACCCGAACGGGTTGCCGCCCAGGGTGAAGTCTCCGGGGAACGAGCCCTCCACGTTCTTCATCACAGCCAGCTCAAGGAAGCCGATGAACGCGAAGATCTGGGCGAGGCCCGCCGGGGGGATCTTCGACAGAGCGGCCACGCCGTTCGGCATGTCCGCGAACGACAGGTTCGCCGAGTTCGAGAGCATACCGGGGAGGCGGGTGTTCTGCTGGGTCAGGTGACCGGCGATGGCGAGCATAGCAATGCGCCCGTGCTTCACCTCCACGTACCGGAGGCGCTCGAACCGCTCCTGGTCCGCGTCCTCGAGGAGGCCGAGCGGGTCCCAGAATCCGAGGGGGGGCTGCGCGCCGATCTCCGACTCGAACGACATCTTCATGGCCGAGGACGACTTCGCCGGGGTGGCGACGGCGGCGCCGTTGAACGCGCTGTGGTAAATTAGTGGGGGTGGGTGGCAGCAGGGAAAGGGAAGGAGGGAAAAGAGGCAAAACAGAGACAAGGATTGACGTACTGAAACTGTTTTCAAGGCGGGTGACAAACTGAGAGGAGGCGGTGACAGATCATTCCAACGGTTCACGACTCTGTTCACATGACAAGCTCAAACTAAATTCCAATGACCTGACGTCCTGATGTCCAGTGTGAACGGGATTATGTTCAGAGCGGAGAGCAGGATGCGTGATGTGATCCAGCAATCGGGAGGTGCATACGGGTTGTGTCTTGACAAAGGATTGGGGTTGCTGCTGGTTTCCCATGCGCTGTTTGGGGGAAAGACAAGCCTCGTCAATTGATAGATAGGTGTGCCAGTCGTTTTGCCCCTGAATGAACTGAGGGACGCCATGAAAGCAGCTCTTCCGCAGAGGTCGCGACTGTTAAAATACGATTCACTATTTGGCTTAGTTCATGAACCTTGGTAACGATTCCATCCGTCTCGACAACACCGTCAAGCAAATCAGAGGGCGTTGCCAAACTGCAGTTGTATGAGACGAGTGATTCAGTTGATGATATCGTGTAACCTTCGAATCTTCTGGTAGTGCATTGCGTGGGATGTGCGGTGTACTGCGCAGCTACGCAAAGGGATGCGATCTCTCCAGAGTGATGGCAAGGGCCGCCGGAGGAAACAAAAGCATTCCTCCTGTGCGAACCTGGTGGGTGTATCAATCACACATGCAGTTACCGAAACGCAGAGGCGTCGAAGGGCGTCAGCATACATGAAAAAAGAAGAGAAAAAAGCGGTGGTGCAGCAGGCGAAATCCACGCGAAACCAAGGGTCCAACGACAGCTGACGCGCATAATATGTCGGGGAAAGGAACACTAACACTGATGTTGGGAATACAATCTGGTGCGTGGAATCGGCAGCGCGTCGTTTCTTCTCAGACCGGGCGTGGCGTAGCGGCATGTAGTCTTGCTTCCTGAGTTCCTGAGCACTGATTGCAACCGTTTATCAGGTGGCTACGGCGTGTTTGGGTGAGATCAAGCGAGGTATGTACATGCGAGTGAGCAGTTACGCACAGGCAGATGGACGCTCTTCCGTGTTTCAGTTGATAACTCGCTGTGCTAATACCCCACGCACCGAGACGCTGCTGTCAAGCTGCTACTACATACTGGTAGTGCATATGAGCACGTGGGGAGACTATTATAGTACATACTTCTAGTAGTTTCCTTGCAATTGGGATGGCATGGAGTAGTCTACAGTACCGGCCCGGAGATAAGAAACATCAAAATCGTGTCGAGGCCCAATCCCACATTTTGCGTCGAAAGATCAGCCGAAGGCGTCCATTCTCTTAAGAGGCATTTCTTATTCCTTTGGACTGTCGCATCCTCCTGATTATGTTATTTCTCGTTTTCTTTAATTTCTGGCTAAGAATATGCATACAACGACACCAAACATTCATGCGTGGGTAAAGCAGCCCGCGGAGGCGCCGGCCGAGTAGCTTAATAGCGCGGAGGCGGGGGGGGCAGCGCCAACAATCACTCTCCCCCCCTACGAAAAAAAACGTTGTCCCGCTCGGCACCGGGGGGGTGGGAGCACCGAAAGAGCAGCAGTGGAACGTTTCTTATTGGAAACGCTCCCCCAGCAACCCTTGTTTCTTATGTATTGGGAGTATCACACGGTCATGTTCTTCTTGGGACGTTTCTTATGCTGTGGCCGAGATTGAGCCGTGTTTCTTAGTCCATTTTCCTTATTTTTCGAATAAAGTTGAGCCTTTTTTTCTAGGGAGTTTTTTCTTAATGACGGGCCCGTACTGTATGTATGTACATACTTCTACATTCTACGTAGTACATAGTTTCTTTCCATTCCAGACAACTAATCGACACACAGACGCTGTGGAGGTTTCGGACTTCTCTGCGCATGAAACTTGTTGTGCAAACTGCAGCGGGCTCCCCAATACAACAGGAGAGGGGCTTGGGCGATGCGACAGACGAGGAACACATGCGACAGAACCACAACACCACGACGACCTAGACACTAAATAGCTACAGACTGACAAGAGCAACCCAAGGTTCACGAATCAAGCACCCCTCCAACAGCTGCTCTCACCTGGGTGCCACGAAGGCTTGGGCTCCGGCCACGCAGGCAGCGGCTACAACGCAGGACTTCATCTTGATGTGAGGTGGTGGTGTGGGAAGAGAAGGGTGGGTGTGGGAGAGATGTGGTGGGCAGCAAACGGAGTGAACGTAGGGAGCGGGGGCGTGGGCTGTCAAATCTGCGAGAGGAAGTGTCGAAGAGTAGCCGCCAGCGAAATGACATCAACCACAGCTCGGCCAATCACAGGCCGCGGGACTGTCCGCACTTACCGTAGTTCCGCCGCATTCCTAGAAACGTGCGCGACGCGGGATCTACTGATCTACTTCGCGGTTGTTGACATGTTGACATCCTGTCGGCTTGTGCTTCTTGCGGAGCCAGGGTGGCAGCAGTGCTGTTGCGCCAAGCGCTCTGAAAGTCGAAGCAGTTTGGTCTATATATTTTTTCCTTCACCAGCGTCCGAGCGAGCGCGAGTCACTGATGTGTCCACGTCCTGAAAATGTCACACGATCCGAATTTTTTGGAGGACGATTTTTGACAAAAACACCGACCCGGGAGCGCTCTCCCTTTTTAGAAAGTACGCATAATCTCACAGAAAGACCACCCGTTCGAGACTTTGCATATGGCCTCCTCTCCCCCTCCCTATATCTCTCGGCCTGATTTCCGACATAGAATCATGTATGTATGCCTGTGACCTCTGCGTAACAGCATTCCTTTGGCTCTCGGCAATGTGCCCGCGGTTCACAGCATGTAGACAGTCCACAGAGTATACAAGAGATAGCAGTAGTAGTAGCATCAGCAACTTGCCGTGTTGCCGTTGTTACATAAAGCAGCAGTAGTTCTGGCTACCACGCTGGCACCACCTGTCGGTTTAACTTCACTCCTTTTATACGACAGCACGCGGTCAGGTCGGACAACGCCGTCGTATGCTCACATTATCGCTACGCAGCACAAGAATAGTGGCGTTTCGCGCCACTGCCCGAATTGAGCGATTCCAAGCCAAAGGGGACTTTGTAATGTGTGAGAGGCTGCTGCAAACTAGAGCTCTCCAACTGCATCCTTAACAAAGAAAATAGCTTTCGTTGTGTGGTTCGTGAGGACACGTTAGGGAGGACACCTGCGAAATTGTCCTCGAGTGAAGACTGAAAAACATTACCTCATCACGGGAGTTCACCGCCCAGTATCAAGACACTCGGATCAGCGATGGCAAGTAGTCTGTGTGACTGTGCCGGTGTACGATACGCCTCGACACGTAACGTACCCGGTGCATGTGTCCACAACGTCAACGGCACGTACGTGTTGTCTCACGCTTCGGACCGAGGTCGCCAATACGAAGCATCTAATCCTTGTTGGGCGCAACAACATGTCATGTGCGAAATATGGCACAAGGTTAACAAGCTCCATCTTTCGATGTTGGGCGCAACAGCATGCCGCGTGCGAAATGTGGCACAAGATTAACCAGCTCCATCTTTGTGTTCGCCCTCCAAGATAGCAAGGGAGGGGTAAGGCGGCAATCCGTTCGTGATACGAGTAAGCTGTTTCATAAACATCAATTTCATGAATGCCAGGGCACAGCCCATGCACAAAACATCCAAGACACTCTGTTCTCAGTCAAACCCTCCGCACGTGCTGGCGCATCTGCAGGAGATGTGCTAAACGTGAAGCACCACCATCGCCAGGTTACACCAATCAAAAACACAAGGGAGGACAGAGTTTGCAAGCACAGCAGTGCAAGCTTCTTTGGGTGTTCGGTTCAAAGCTTTGTTTTATTCGACCCCCATTCAGTTCCAAAGACATGCAAAGCGAGAACAACTACGATCGACGCAGCACGCCTCTCGGGTGTACGCATCATGGTCAAGCACTCGACAAAAACAACAGAGCAAAACGGGCAACAGCAACAACCGGCGCCATCCACAAGACCAAACCGTCGTAACACCAGGTGCAGCCGACACAAACACCAACAAAAAGGGCCCCAATCTCCTAGCTCCCACCCCTCCGAACAGTAACCGCACGCCTCACGCACGAGGGTGTACCGTTCGAGCCACCCACGGAATACACGGTCGGTATGTTCTACATCAGTCGACATGACACCGTTTCTACGAGCCCAAATGACCATTGAACGCCGCGGAACCAGAGCATCATCCGGTTCTCGGTCTAGGAAAGAAGAGGCTCCCCCTCCCCCCGTCGCAGCTTCTAAACAAAACCCCCATCAAAAGCCAAAATCACAACACAACACCGCTATTCACAGAGCGCCCCCCAGCAACATACCCGGTGCAAAAGGTCGGAAGGACGCACGGTCTAGTAATCTAGTTGAAGGTGTACCCCGCGCCGAGGAGGTCGTTGATCACGTACGGCTTGTTGTTCAGCTCCTCGTGCACCATCAGAGCCAGGATGCCCATCTGTGCCGCGCGCCCGTTGTTCAGCTCGATCGCGCGCTTCGACGCCTGGGTCTCCTCCGACATCGCGTCCCACGAGGACCCGAACGGGTTGCCGCCCAGGGTGAAGTCTCCGGGGAACGAGCCCTCCACGTTCTTCATCACAGCCAGCTCAAGGAAGCCGATGAACGCGAAGATCTGGGCGAGGCCCGCCGGGGGGATCTTCGACAGAGCGGCCACGCCGTTCGGCATGTCCGCGAACGACAGGTTCGCCGAGTTCGAGAGCATACCGGGGAGGCGGGTGTTCTGCTGGGTCAGGTGACCGGCGATGGCGAGCATAGCAATGCGCCCGTGCTTCACCTCCACGTACCGGAGGCGCTCGAACCGCTCCTGGTCCGCGTCCTCGAGGAGGCCGAGCGGGTCCCAGAATCCGAGGGGGGGCTGCGCGCCGATCTCCGACTCGAACGACATCTTCATGGCCGAGGACGACTTCGCCGGGGTGGCGACGGCGGCGCCGTTGAACGCGCTGTGGTAAATTAGTGGTGGTGGGCGAAAGTGGGGGTCAACAGTGAAACCGGAAGGAGAGGAAAGGAGGGGAAAGACGGACAGGGATTAGATTCTGGAAACCATTTCCCAGCGGTTCGAAAAACTGAGAGCAGGCACGGGCGGATCATTACAACGGTTCACGATTCCCTCTCAACAAGTTCAGGAACATTTCCAAAGGACCTAACGTCCAGTATGAAAGGGGCAAGCAATCATGACGGGAATACGTTATGCAAGTACAACAGAGGCATTCGGTCATGACACGGCCCTGCGTCGCGACTAATTCACGTTTTCCGTTGTGGGGAACGAAAAGCTTCGTCATGGGACAGGTGTAACCATCCATTTGTTTCTTGTTCTCAGTATCACACAACGAATTCACAGAGCAGAAACTACCTACTTCTACGAATCAACGAGCAGCATACAGCGATATCTCCGCTGTGGGTAACAGCCTCAGCGAGACAGTTTCGTAGCCGTCGTGTATCTCTCTTTTATCTGTATGCAATGCTGGGAAGGTGAAGAAGGAACGTGTTGGGGTTATTGTGATTTTTCGGGTATGCTATTTGTATAACCCTTGTGGAATCGTGGACCCTTGACCGGACTGGATGAAAAATAGCTCGTCTGTGCCCCCGTGAATCCTTGAATCATTCTGCTTTCATGTGTGGCGCGCAGGAACTACTGTATGCCCCTACGCAGCTAGGCGTGGGTTCGAATGTTCGTCGAGTGAAGGTACGCACCGCAAGAGGAATGGTCGAAAATACTGATTGGTGGATCCCCCATAGAGGCCCTTTATAGTGGCAACCTGAATAGTGAAATGCCCGATAAAGTGGCATAAAAACCTCCCGGTAAAATCTCAACCCGATTATAGTGGCACTTTCCCACTATTGAGGACGGGGCCCTCAATAGTGGCATGTTGCCCATCTCACACACCCAATAGTGGCAATTCCAAACAGCGGGCCCCCAGTACTGCTGGACCACACCTGCCCACACCACCCTCAGCAGTGGGCGCCACACGTATCATGCCAGCCTGCGCGGACCTAGAACTGTGTAAACTCCCACACCGACCACTGGGAGAGAAAGACGGGCACACATGTCGCCTCGGCTGCGGCGGCCGGCAGAGAAATACACCGCGTCTGCAACCCGTGCATCGCCGAGAAGCACAAGACACCCCGACTCCTCGAATCAGCCTAAGCGTGCCTCCCCCAACTCGGGACTTGTCGGAGATGGCGCCGCCGCGAAAAAGAAGAAGTTCTCCCATAGGTAGTTGCAGAGCATCGTGGCGGTTGGGTTGATGCGCCGGGGTGGAGAACGTTTGGCTCTACAAGCTTTGTTGATTCAGTTGTAATTTCTTGTAAGTGTGTTGAACCCCATGTTACATAGCCCGCCGGACAAAACATGTATGATGTGCCTCCTACAGTAGTACGTTTGGGCGTGGTTTCGGTGGTCTGCCACTGAAAAATGAAAAAAAGGTTTTGACTGCACTGAAAAATGAAAAAAAGGTTTTGACCGCAGAACGTTCGGCGACCCTTGGATAACCAAGTGTCATTTCATGTGTTTCATGCTGATACTGCAGCACACAAGTGCTCAACCACCAGGAGTGCAGCAACACGACTTTATCCGCATGTAACAGCGCATGTGAGGGGAGATACAATGAACCGCTGTCGATGTCGTGAACTTCGCAGCTTCTCATTCGATATAGTGGCAATAATGCCACTATTGACATTGCAATAGTGGCAATAGTGCCACTATATCGAATAGTGGCATTGCCCCGAATAGTGGCATCATTTGGTCTTGCCCCTATATCCCACAATAGGGTGTTTGCGAAATGGTCTCCCATTTCAGTCTTGGAAGTTTGAAGGAATTCCGGCCCAAGATTGAATTTTGGTTTCAAAAATAGCTTGCGAAGACCGGAGCGCAATATTTCAGTCTTGAACATGCGGAAATTTCCTAGAACGTTGCATTCAATACGACGGAGCCCCTTTACCGGCGGCGGCAGACAGATGGTTGAGCCGACTCGGAACACCAAACATATTTCCGAGCTTCCGCTTTCACCCCAACAAGGCTACTACTACTCCACTATCACTGCACCCTCACCCACCCCCAGTCATGGAGAATACTGATGGAGCAACGTACTAATTCATGAACAGGCGGTTGGCCCAGTTCAGTTACCGGGAGTACATAGGAAGCGTAGCGCCGCAAAAAGCGGAGGCATGCATGTAATACTATGTGTGTACGTACCCCTTCAGCACGCGAACAAGTTGTGATACATATCGCAGTCAGTCGTCGACGGAGTCGATAGTTTCCTGTCAAACAAATCACCACAGCACGGTCCACAGGACGCACGCGCTGCAGCTCCTCACGCCCCCACGCCGCTTGAAGCATCCCCATCTCCATCACCTCCGCCTCCACCACCTGTGCCGCACTCCTGAGATCTATGCCGCCCGCCTCACCGCCTCACCCTCCTCACGCCGCGGTTTGATGTGTCACTTATTATGAGCATGCATGTAGAGCGGCATGCTTCTGTCTGTCCACGCATAAACATTTAAGATGAAGCAAAAGTTGCACCATGTCGGCAGCATGCAATGCGCACCGGGTGTGCGGTGCAGCGACGTTTGTCTGACCGTCTGTGGTCTGGCGGCACTGCTGCTGTTTGTAGTTGGTTCGCCATGCATGGTGTCGTCTACGGCGGCCAAGGTGAGTGTGTTTGGGCAGCTCCACGGGATGGTGCGGCGGTGTCGGGAGGAGGTCGGGAGTATCTCGGGGTGCGTAGGCCAATCAAAAATTGTTCCTTCAAAGACCAAAATGAGCAAGACTGAATTCAAGCTTTCCTGCTGGTAGGCCAATCAAAAATTGTTCCTTCAAAGACCAAAATGAGCAAGACTGAATTCAAGCTTTCCTGCGGTCTTTGGGGGCAATTCCATAAAGCAAAAGATTGAATTCCTAAAGATCCATTGGTCTTCGGCGCTCGGGGGGATAAAAAAGACCAAGATGAAACTGAAATTTCAACTTCGCAAACACCGTAATATCGGGCCACCTACTGTATTGTAGTGAAATGTGGCGTCAACGAATACATGGACGAAGGAAAAGAACAAAAGCGAGGTGCTCCCGTTCGCGAAATCCGCGCGAAACCAGAGGTTCAACAACAGCTGACGCGTGAGATAAGTTGGGGAACTTGAGGCTGTTGAGTGGCATCGACCGAGCCTAGTGAAATGTCAAAGCGTAGTGTGTACACAGCTTCCCCACCTCAACGCAACGACAATCGAATCTCGGGTCGTTGTGTCGAGACAGCGTCGTGTTGCAAGGAGCGAGTTATCTAACGAGTGAGCACGTACGCACATGCAGATGGGGTTCTCTGCCAACGTATTCTAGTTGATACAACTCGCTGTCCTCATACCCTACGCACCGAGCCACTGCTACCGAGCCGCTCCTAGAAAAGCGCGTGGGAGAGCAGGAAGGGTACTACTGACGGTAGGCAGTAGTTAGTTGGACCCGAAGACAAAGACAGGACCGCACAAAGAACGTGGAGGTTATCTATGAACTTCTCCGAACACGGAACTCTGAAACCTGGAGCGGGGTCTCCAGAACAGCAGGAGAGCGGCTTAGAGTATGGGACAGACGAGGAGCTCAAGCGATAGAATCATGGCATCGCTGCGACCTACAAACGGGCGCATGATCACGTTGTTGCGTCCCATAACAAGAATCACAGCGACCCAGCGCATGCGATCGAACAAGTCTCCAAACAGCTGCTCTCACCTGGGTGCCACGAAGGCTTGGGCTCCGGCCACGCAGGCAGCGGCTACAACGCAGGACTTCATCTTGATGTAAGGTGGTAGTGTGGGAAGAGAAAGGTCCAGGATGTGGTGGGCAGAAAACGGAGTAAACAAAGGCGGCGCGGGAGCGTGGGCTGTCAATTCGGAGAGAAGAAGGAAGAAGAGTAGCCCCCACCCAGATGACATCAACTACAGCTCGGCCAATCACAGGCCGCGGGACTGTTGTTCACGAACTAAGGCTTAGTTTCGCCGCATTTTTTCGTGCGCGAGATTGCCGGCTTGCTTTCTTGCGGAAACAGGGTGTTGCTTCTCCCCCAAGCGCTCTGACGTTCGAAGCAGTTGGATCTGCAATCTCTCGTTATCCTTACGAGATTGCGAGCTGCGTGTCCACGTCATCCCGCGTCACGCGATCCGGTCTTTCGTTGTTTTTGGGGTGATTTTTGAAGAACTTGCGCGACGCTGTAGCGCTACTGCTGTACTGCTGTAGATACTTCGCCGTTGTTGACATGCTGTTGGCTTGTGTTTCTTGCGGAGCCAGGGTGGCAGTGGTGCTTTCGCGCCAAGCGCTCTGAAATTCGAATCAGTTGGGTCTATCTCTTTTTTCCTTCACCAGCGTCCGAGCGAGCGCGAGTCCCTGCTGTGTCCACGTCATGACTTGTCACCCGATCCTTGAGAGTCAGATTTTCGTAATGATTGTTGCGAACGATTTGACCAACACCGATCCAGGAGCTATCCCTTGGCATCGCGGCTTCTCCCCCTCCCTCTATCTGTCGACCTGATTTCCATACACAGAGGTAGGTTATTGTATGTGTATGTGACCTCTGCCGCACAGCATTCCTTTGGCTCTCAGAGAAGAAAGTGTGCCCGCGGTTTGCAGCAGCAGCAGTCTACTACATAAATACATGAGAGCGCAGTACAGCAGCAGTTTTTGCTCTGGCTGTAGCACGCTGGCACCACTCGTCGGATTTATCGGTACATATGCAGCACAAGAATATTGGAGTTACGCGCCAATGCCCGAATTGAGCGATTCCAAGCCAACGGCCACCTATGTGTTGGAGGCTGCTGCGAACTAGAGCTCTGCAACGAGAACAGCTTTCGTTGTGTGGTTCGTGAGTGGTACACGTTGTAGGGAGGGCGCCTGCAAAATTGTCCTCGAGTGAAAACTGAAAAATATGACCTGATCACGGGAGTTCACCCCCCTGCATCAAGACACTCGAGTAGCGATGGCAGCAGTCTGTGCGACTCTGCCGGTGTACGATGCGCCTCGACACGTAGCGTACCGGGTGCATGTGTCCAGAGCGTCAAAAGGCGCGTACGTGTTGTCCTCTTAGGCTTCCGACCGAGGTCGCCAATACGAAGCATAAATCGTTGTTGGGCGCAACAACATGTCATGTGCGAAATATGGAAAAACTTTAACCCGCTCCATCTTTGTGTTCGCCCTCCCGACATAGCAAGGGAGGGGAGAGGAGGAAATCCCTTCGTGATACGAGTAAGCTGTTTCATAAACGGCCATTTCATGAATGCCAGGGCACAACCCATGCACAAAACATCTTAGACACTCTGTTCTCAGTCAAATCCTCCTCACGTGCTGGTGCATCTGCAGCACGGGTGCTAAACGTCAAGGACCATCATCGCCAGGTTACACCAATCAAAAACACAAGGGAGGAGAGCGTTTGCAAGCACAGCAGTGCAAGCTTCTTTCGGTGTTGGGTTCTAAACTTTGTGTCCATTCACAGACCCCCGTTCAGTCCCAAAGAGATGCAAAGCGAGAACAACTACGATCGACGCAGCACGCCTCCCGGGTGTACGCATCATGGTCAAGCCTGACACGACGACTCGACAAAAAACAGGGCAAAACGGGCAACAGCAACAACCGGCGCCATCCACAAGGCCAAAGCGTCGCAACACCAGGCACAACCGACACGCCAACGACATGGGCCCCAATCTCCTATTTAGATCCATCACCTGCGGACAGTAACCGCACGCCTCACGCACGAGGGTGTAACATACGAACCACCCACGGGTTGGTTACACGGTCGGAATTTTGTACAAGGTGACATGACACCGTTTCTACGAGCCCAAATGAAAATGAAACGCCCCGGAACCAGAGCATCATCCGGTTCCTAAGACTCCAAAGAAAGAAGGGGTTCCCCCTCCCCCCATCGCAGCTTCTAAACAAAAACCATTAAAAGCCAAAATCACAACACAACACCGCTATTCACAGAGCGCCCCCAGCAACAAAACCGGTGCAAAATGGCTGAAGGACGCACGAACGAGAAATTTAGTTGAAGGTGTATCCCGCGCCGAGGAGGTCGTTGATCACGTACGGCTTGTTGTTCAGCTCCTCGTGCACCATCAGAGCCAGGATGCCCATCTGTGCCGCGCGCCCGTTGTTCAGCTCGATCGCGCGCTTCGACGCCTGGGTCTCCTCCGACATCGCGTCCCACGAGGACCCGAACGGGTTGCCGCCCAGGGTGAAGTCTCCGGGGAACGAGCCCTCCACGTTCTTCATCACAGCCAGCTCAAGGAAGCCGATGAACGCGAAGATCTGGGCGAGGCCCGCCGGGGGGATCTTCGACAAAGCGGCCACGCCGTTCGGCATGTCCGCGAACGACAGGTTCGCCGAGTTCGAGAGCATGCCGGGGAGCCGAGTGTTCTGCTGGGTCAGGTGACCGGCGATGGCGAGCATAGCAATGCGCCCGTGCTTCACCTCCACGTACCGGAGGCGCTCGAACCGCTCCTGGTCCGCGTCCTCGAGGAGGCCGAGCGGGTCCCAGAATCCGAGGGGGGGCTGCGCGCCGATCTCCGACTCGAACGACATCTTCATGGCCGAGGACGACTTCGCCGGGGTGGCGACGGCGGCGCCGTTGAACGCGCTGCGGTGTTTGGTAGGGGTGGGTGGTAACAGGAAAAAGGGAAGGGAAGTGGAGAAGGGATAACAGCGAGAGGAATGAGGTAATGAAAATATTCAATTCCGTCGAAAATCTGAGAGGAGGTACTTGCGGATGATTTCAACCGGTCGCGATTCCCTTTTGCAGACAACGTGCAATATGTTCGGAAGGACCTGACGTCCAGTATAGTGGAGACGAGAAAGCACGTTCAGGGATTTGATCAAGCAGACATGGGCCGGAATTCGAAACAGAAGTACGATGAACAGGCGCTGAGGTCGTGACAGGCTATTCTTTGCCGCGAATGGTTTGTGATGACTTAGTGTTTAGTGAAAGAAACGTATCATCACCGGACAGCAGTAGTCATTGGACAGGAGCAATCCTTTTACGCTTGAAAGGACTGCTGCACGCCATGAAAGAAGGTCGTCTACACAAGTCGGGACTAAATTTGTTCCGAGGACGACACGGTCTAATCTTCGCTTGGGTTGGTTCATCAACCTCATGTTGTATGATTTAGAGGGCGTCATCTACATGTATGTATTGCATGAAAATAACAAAGGTGCTCCTGGAGGCGAAATCCAAACGAAACCACAGGTTCAACAATAGCTGACTACAACAGTAGTGAGATGCGTTAGGGAAAGGAACACCAATTATATTGGGACTACAGTCTTTTGAGTGGCATCTATGAGGCCTGAGGGCTCGTGTCTTCAAACCCGGTGTGGTGTAGTGTTCGTGCATGTATATGACATGAAATATCCTTTTGGTGAGCACTGATTGCAACCGTTTCTCGGGCGGTTGTGGAGAGTCAGCGTGTTTGTGTGGGATGAGCGAGGTAGTAAACGAAACAACACATGGCAGATTGGATGCCCTATCAGTTGTTTTATTAGTTGTTATAACTCCCTGTCTCCAGGACCTATGTACCGAGATGTTGCTGTTAGGCTGTCAGGCCGCTACTACATTTTAGGTGCGCGTGATGGTCGTTTCTTTTCGAATCGAGAGAAGCACATGATCGACAAGAAAAAGCATGTACGGAGGCTCCTACAATGTCTTTTCTGTGCATCTCTGGAGCTTACTGCTGTTCATACTGCAGCGGACTCACCACAACAAGAGAGGGGTTTGGTGACGGGACAGACAAGGAGCGCATGGGATAGAACCACGGTACCACCGACCTACACACGAGCACATGACTCCGTGGGCATTTCCCAGACAAAGGAGCAAACAAACGAACGCGATCAAGCACGCCTCCAATATTTAGCTGCTCCGCTGCTCTCACCTGGGTGCCACGAAGGCTTGGGCTCCGGCCACGCAGGCAGCGGCTACACCGCAGGACTTCATCTTGATGTGAGGTGGTGGTGTGGGAAGGGAAGGATGGGTGTAGGATGTTGTAGGCAGAAAACGGAGTGAACGAAGGAGGCGAGGGTGGGCGGTCCAGTCCGTGATGAGAAGGGCAGCCACCAGCCAGATGACATCAACTACAGCTCGACCAATCACAGGCCACGGGACTGTTGGCATGTCGCCGCGCTTGCTTTTAGAAGAAAATAGACGGTTTCGGAAGTATTCTTGGCAAAAGTTCACCTTCACTTTTAACAGCACCGTTCCTGGGACCAGTCCCGTTTTTCCCGAAGGTTTTACTTTTAACGATGTGATGTCACGATGTCACCAAGAGGGAATCTCATCAGCACGGCCCGCGACCAAGTCACCATATTTCCCTAACAGATGCTTGCATCCGGGTGAAACCTTCGACGCTGTGTGCTCCACAGCTCTGAGGTACCTTGCCACCAACCGAGATGGGTCTGAGTGGAGCGTTGTGAGCGTCTTGAGAGCGAGGACGCGACGTTTTTGAGCTGGAATGCAAATGCACGCACCCAGACAGGGTGTGTGTGCACGCAGCAACAAACGCACGCAGCACGCCCAAACGCTCGTCGCTCTCTCGCAACGCATCCGGCCAATCTTCAAGCCAGAGCCAACAACACACAAGGCAGCAAGATGCCCTAGGATTTGTTGTGGATCATGCTGCACTACATCGTGTTGGGCGATCGATGCGAGTGTAGTAGGTGTCCGGCTGCTGCTGCTGTGGGCGGGTGTGCGTGAGTTCGAAAAAAATATGAGCGAGCTGTGGCCCGACATCAATTTGACAAGTCTAAACCTTCGTTAGCGCCGAAGCAGGAGTCCTCCCACTGCTGGCAGTAAGCTCTACGACCGATCACGGGCATGCGTTGGTGGGGTAGGTGTGAAACAGCACCCATCCTGGCGTGGTGTTGACCAAAGCAGCTAAAAGCCAAAAGATGTAAAAACTTGAAAAAGTTCAGCTTTAACAGACGCCAGTTGCCCTTCGTGCTAAAAAATCTTCCTAGGGTCGAAAGTTCATTTTTATGGCGGCCATAAACTGGCTCTTTTCCCTAAAAAGTGAAAGTGAACTTTTCAAAACGTACATACATCAGAAACTCGCCAATGTCCTACTTCTGTTCTAAAAAAAATTAGAAAACATACCAGTAGGTCGAATCGGTAACTTTCTCGGCCCGCACACATTTTCATTTCCGCACCACCACCCGTCAAGAGGATCGAAACACCGGGACAGCGCGCATGGTGGCACACTTCTTCTGTCGCAACATGCAGCTTGTTTGCTCGCCGACTCAACCGTATGCGCTTTCGTTGTATCATGGCTTATTGGCACTGTGTCGGGTTGGAAACTCACTCGGCTCACACACACTTAATTTCATTTTCTAAGCCACCATATTATTCAATGAACATTTTACCGTTGGTTGCTCACAAGCGGACGCTGAGATTCGACTTTTTTTATAATATTGCATTTTTGCGGACATTGTGAAAATGTGTAGGGCAACTTGACGAGTATCGTCGCATTGCCTGTCTGAAGCATGCGATTTTTCAGCGGGTAACAATCAAGAAGGTACATATATATATAGGAAGCGACGCGCTGCAAAGAAAGCTCGTTGTTCGTAAACTTGATCGACTTCATAAGTCGCGAGGGAAGGGATTGCTGCACCCTTCTCGCGATAAAAACATCTCATGCAGGAACCGCAGGAGGGGGTCCAACCCCCCCCTCCTATGTGACCCCGGTTGGGTCGTCTAGCTAGTAGAAGTGAAGGATGGGCGCCAGAGGGGCAGACGACAGAGTCCAATAATGGGAGAGAAAAAAAAAAGAAGAAAAAAATTAGACACCAGCAAGACTCTGTTAATGGTATTTGGAGGTAGACATGTTGTTCGTGGGTCTACGGACATGGTTTGGATATGTTAGCCGTACCTACAAGTGTGACGCAGATGGTGTAGAACCTTTTAGGTAGGGGTACGGTGATGATGCACCGGGGCCCCCTTTTGTTGTGTGCAGCAGCCCTGCTGCCACTCCTCCTCTCTGAGCACGACAGCGCCCTGGGTACGGGCGTTGCCTCACCGTCTGAAGTTAATACACTACACAAACAATACCCGATAAGTACGCGGAGTACGGCCGACAAACACTCTAGAGTTTAGATTGATTGTCCCTCGAGGGATAGCCGCATCGGGTCATGTCTGCGTCGGACAGCGGTTCCGTCGCAGGGCTGGGGGAAGAGACCTCAGCCACGCAACAGCAACACGCCGAGGATCCGGCGATTGCGAGGCTGGAGGGCCAGTTATCGCAGCTGATGAGCGTAGTGATGGAGTTGAAGAGGAAGGAGCCTGGTGACGCCGTGGCGGGCGATGCCAGTAGGGGCGGCGGTGCTGCCGTCCCAAGCCAGAGAGAGGCTCTGCCGCCTGGGGGCGGCGGGGCGTTTTCCCGGGAAACGGCCCGTGATGGGCGAAATCACCCGCGGGAAAGCAGCTGGGACAACATACCGGGAGCGAGTCCTGGGGTTCCAGCGAGAGTGACGACTGGCTGGGCAGGTAGATCGGGAGCGAATCCTGTGGGGCCAGCCGGAATGAGCCCGGGCGTAGGACCGGACCGCGGGGAAGCGAGGGGGTTAAACCCCCAAGGTGAGCAAACCGCAATTCGAGGGGCCGGAGCATTTTTTGATGGGTACAGCAGTAGTAGCCAAAAACGTGTTACGGTCAATGCACCGCGTCTCGAAGGGGAGAGTCGCGGCCACGGGTACGACTCGTGGAGGAAGGCCCTTATTCAAGCCGCAAAAACCGTAGGCTTGGACGGGCAGCTTATCGGCAACGCCGAGAAGCACGCACCCGTCGGTGACCCAAACAGGCCTAGCTCGGAGCTGTATAGCTTGGGCTACACAAGTGATGAGGTTCAGAGGGGCCTCCAGGCGTTCCACTTTGTGACTACAGCCATCGTCCGAGAAGCCGACAAGGCAATCGTGAATGAATGCGAGACCGCAAAGGAGATCCTTGCGGAGCTCGACAAAGTACACAACCCGGAGTCGCAGGGCTCGAAACAAGCCCTCATGAAGAAGATGTTTCGATTCACGATCCCCGCACACAGCAACAGCAACCCTGTCGAGCATCCATACACGCTCGAGCTGCTGTACTCACGACTGCGGGAAAAAGGGCTCAACGCTGAGACACCCTTTGTTCTCGCACACTTTGTCGATGCCCTTCCACCCGAGTACCAACAAGCCAAATTCTTGTTGGAGACGGCTACAAACCTGGACCGGGGCGAGATAATCAGGGTAGTCAGTACCGTGCACGCGAGCCTCCCGGAGGGGAGGAGGGCCACGAAGGGCCAGCGGAAGGCGGAGCATGCTTTCCTCGCGAGCGACGGTGGCAACAGGGGCGGAGCGCCCGGCCGCAACAGCGGCGGCCACAGCAAGGGCGGCGGCGGCGGTGGCAGCCAGAAGGGGAAAGGGGGTGGTCGCAAGGGCGGTGGTGGTGGCAACAGCGGCGGAGGCGGCGGCGGTGCAGGTAGCATGCACGGCCGCTGCTTCCGGTGCGGAGAGAAGGGTCACCAGGCGGCCGCCTGTACCAAGCCGGAGCCCCTGCGATGCGAGAAATGCCTGGGCTACGGACACGACAAGAGCAAGTGCTCGTCCGAGCAGGCGGTGCTCGCGGTGGAGCTGCCGGTCTTGGACGCCACCGCACTGGACGTGGCAGAGGAGGCGCTAGTGGTCCGTGACTTCACAGGCGAGTGGAACAGAGTCGTTGATCGAGGGGGTGTAGAGCAGGCCAGGCAGGAAAGGTTTGTGGCCGATACCGGCGCAACCAACCACATGTTCCCGAGCGCTAACGCGTTCGAAAAAACTACCATGAGTGCGATCGACGTTTGAGTGTCGCCGCAGGGAAGCAAGCCTTCGCCATAGTAGGCTACGGCGACGTGAGGGTGTCCATCGGTTCTCGCGTTGGGACCACAGACCTGCTGTTGAAACGGGTCGCTCATGTGCCGGAGCTGAATTACAACCTCGTGTCCCTCACAGCCCTTTTGAAGCAAACCAAGGGCCGCTTAGCCGCAGACGAGCGTGAGTTGGAGGTGTTCGTTGGTGGGGGGGAGTCGGTGTACTTCCCTCTATGGGGGGACCTGTTCGTTCAGACTGGTCACCGCATAGAGTCGGGTAGGGAACTAGCCTGTGCCATAATTGCTCCTGGTAACGCGAAAGCGAACCGCACCCCCGTTGACATCAACGACTTCCACTGCGCGCACGGCCACTCCCACGAGGTGCTGCTGAAGAACACGGCGAAGCAGCAAGGGGTGACTCTGGTGGGCCAGCTCCGGGAGTGCATGGGGTGCTCGACGGCAAAGGGGCTATCCAAGCCCATCCCCAACAGGACGTCAACCCGAGCAGTTAAGAAACTGCAGAGAGTGTTCGTGGATTTGAGTGGGAAGGCAAGGGTGCAGAGCTTGGGGGGGAAGTGGTACACTCTCATTGTAAGGGATGACTGCACGAGGTGGAACCGCGTCTACTTCTTGAAAAACAAGTCAGACGCTGCAGAGGCATTCGAGAGATACCTAGCGGAAAACAGGGCAGACGGAGCCCCATCCGAGGTCATGGTCGTGCGGTCTGACAACGGAGGAGAGTTTTTCGAGGGAGAGTTCGGAAAGCTGTGCCGCAAGTATTGCATCAAGCAGGAGTTCACCCCCGCATACAGCCCAGAATACAACGGTGTAGCTGAGAGAGCACTCGGGACTGATAAAGGATGCAGCACTAGCCGCCCGCATACAAGCGACGATTCTTTACCCCGAAGCACCAAGCTACCCCTCCCTTTGGGCCGAAGCCACAGCTTGGGCATGCAACGCCCTGAACTGCACCTCCACCACATCCAACCCGGACAAGAAATCGCCGTACGAAATGTGGCACGGGCACCCACCTCCCCCAGAGGCGACGTACCCGTTCCTCAAACCCGCCGTATACAAGGTCAAGCGCACGCACAAGTCAGAGCCGAAAGCAAAAAAGTGTTTT